AAGCGATCATGGGTTCTTCTTCTAGAAATCTCTATGCAGGAATTGGAGAAGGTCAGTCTACGTCTAGGCCACCACTCTTTGATGGCACCAACTATTCCTATTGGAAGGAACGTATGAGAATCTACATCCGTTCCACCAACTTCCAATTATGGTTGGTCATCAAAAATGGAGAACAAATTCCAATGAAGAAAGTAGGAGAAACCACGGTTCCAAAGACTGAGGACGAATTTGATGCCGAGGACATCAAAAAGGTGGAGAACTACGCCAAGGCTATCAATATGCTGTACTGTGCCGTCAATCCTGATGATTATCGTAAGATTTCTTGCTGCACCACTGCCAAAGAAATGTGGGACAAACTAGAGGTCACATATGAAGGTACGGACCAAGTTCGGGAAGCCAAAATTGACTTCCTAACGCAGGAGTACGAAATGTTCAGGATGAAGGAAGAAGAAAAGATCGATGACATGTTCGATCGGTTTTCAAAAATCATCAACGACCTTCATGCTCTCAAGAAGACGTACACCAACAGGGATCTCGTGAGGAAAATCCTGCGAAGCCTCACACCCGAATGGAAATCAAAGGCAGACGCAATCTATGAATCCATCGGAGTCTCAAATGTCACCATCGACGGGCTAAGAGGTAATCTCAAAACTTATGAATCCACTATCCTAACCCCGTCTTTGGATGAACAAAAGAAGAAGGGTATAGCGCTGAAAGCAACCAAGGAGTCCGCGGAAGATGACTCAAGCGACGATGACCACGAGTTTGGACTCGTCATCAAGAAGTTCCACAAATTCATGAAGAAAGAATTTGAAAGAAAAGGAAGAAAGCACAACGGGCCCCCGAAGTGCTATGGTTGTGGTGAGATAGGCCACATCAAGCCGAGGTGTCCAAAAAGCAAAGGCGGCAAGGACAAACCTGGCTTCAAAAAGCAACGCGCCTATATCTCTTGGGGAGGCGACTCCGGGGATGAGTCAACGGATCAAGAAGAGGAGGAAGCCGCCAACCTCTGCCTCATGGCACACGAAGATCAAACTGACGACGTTCAAGAGGTATGTATCAATTCTTCCGACTCTTATACTTTTGAAGAAATGCAAGAAGCACTTCATGAGCTTTATGATGAATTTGTTAGCGCTTCTAAAACCAATAAATCTTTAAAGAAACGTCTTTCAACTCTTAAAAATGATTTTGACAAACTGGAAAAAGATAATGAAAGGTTGA